GACTGTAGGGTCAGCTTGTTTCAACCCTCGGGGGCAGAGAGACCATTGACTTCCACTTTGTGTCAATACAAGTTAAACTGGGATTTATTTCCACCTGTTTCTAATCAGATCAACATAAAGTCCGTGTCCGAGTGCACACACAAAGATAGTCAGGTTAACCACACTCTCAGGCGCTTAATCAACCATTGACTTCCAGTAAAGGTTAATAAAGTACACTTAACCTGTTTTTAACAACAACAAAACATGAGTGAACACCGACATGAGGAAAGGCAGGGGGCATTTAGAAAACCATACATTAAGACAAAATTCAGGTTTTTGCTGTTTCAGGGTCTGGTCCACCATTGACTTCCATTCAAGGTCAATAAGGATAATTCCTGAAGATTTTAACCGTTTCTCAAAAAATATAGAAAAACGGTGTGGTTTCTTGTGCACATGTATATCAGTAAAGTTAATATCTCAAAGAAAAGTCAGATTGTTCCGATTTTTAAGTCCATTGACTTCCACTACAAATTGATTCAGATCAGAATATGACACACTTTTACCTGATTTTGACAATAACGACAAAAAGAGAACAAACATCAGTGAATTCAGGAAGCACTTCGCTTGAAGTTGAAAAGAGCAACCATTGACTCCCACTTAGAGTCAATTCAAGTAAATTTCTGATGTTTTTGACCATTTTTAACGAGACCAGCACAAACAACGTGATTTCATGTGTACAAATACATTATTAAAGTCATTGAAACAACGATAGGTTTGTTTGTTGTCACCCTTGAGAGGAAAGGCATCGACTGACTTTCAGTGGGAGTCAATTTACGGTGACATTTTGATCTACTTCTACCTGTTTTTTTGTGATGTAAACATAAAAAAGGTGCTTCTAACTGAAGAGAATATACACCAGTGTCCTCAGGGAGCACTTAAGCTTCAGAGTTAACAAACTGAGGGTTAAAGGTCAGATTGGTGCAGCCTGAGGGTCTGGTCACCTATTTACATCCACTTAAAATAATTTAAGTTCCTTTTTTTAATCATTTCTTTATCCGAAGTTTTTAATAAAATGGACAAAAGCAGCGTGAACAAGAAAATCAAGAGTTTATCAAACATAGAAATGTTTAATTGTTGCCGCTCCTATGAGTCTGCGAGTCCATTGACATCCACTAAATTCTTATATTTTTCTACCTGTTTCAACAACAAGAAAATCAAGTGCACAATTAGACAAGGAGAATAAACATCAGCATATTTAAGGAGCGCTCAAGCTTGAGGGTTCACAAAGCTGAGATTAAAAGGTCAAGCTGCTGCGCCCTCAGGGTCGGAGCAGCCATTGACTCCCACTAAAAGTCAATATTATATTTTTTAAATATATTTCTACCTGTTTTAGAGAGCAGAAACATAAAAGATGTGATTCAAAGTGCGACCCAGGAGGTATTTGTTCTCCTCTGCCTGTGATATCCTGTTAGTTTAGCGCCTGAATGTGTGCGTTCGTTTCTGTTTTATTCTGCCTCCTCCTCAAACGAGTGTGCTGTCACAGTTCAGCTGACTCTATTTTCCATATTTTATAAATAGCCAGGAGAAAAGTATTAATTATCCTTGTACAATTTAATGCACCGAGTACTTTAACCTTTCAGGTTTCCGTTAAACACCGACATAACAAGGCATATCCATAGCGGCAAACGTGATTTATGACAGGAATACCTAATTCTTGTTTTTAAATAGGTTGGACGGCAATCTGCATACATTTAAATGCGCCTGCAAACACTCTCTCCCCCCTCCTCGCTCTTGTCTCGGGGCCCTTGTTTAATATTCAGGGATGATTTTTTTGTCCACATACATTTTGGTCTGTGTCACCTTAGATTAAATTATTACCGTTTTGCAGCCTTTGCGGTGCAGGCCTGGGGCCCTTATTTACTAGAATCAATGAAACAGTAATGAAAATCCATTTTTCATAGTATCAGCCCCCGCTGTCTTTTATTTAGTTAGCTGTGTCTAAGCAAGCAATTCATTTTGTGTAAATGCCACCCTGAGAAAAAGGCATTAGCGCGGAAAGGGTTAACCCCCCAAAAAATTAAGACGCTCTTCTCCTCAGCAGCTGCAGCAGCAGCGTTGAGCCGACACACAGAGTCCTCCCCTGAATAACTTCATCCCTGAAACAGCCATGTTGGATTCGATTATTTCTCAGATGTGGGCTTTTTCGTTCTGCTATAATGCTGTTGCTTTTGTGAACACGGATGAATCTTCACACTCTGGATGCAGTAATAGACTATTGATGACTCAGATGGTGTCAAACAACAGATCTCCTCATGATTTAATGACTGTGAAACCTCTAATGGACACTTAAATCACGCCGCCATTGATGAAAATACACCCCGCTACCCCGAGGTTAGCGAGCACAGAGCGGTTGGTGTTGGAGGTTCATATTTTTCTGGCATGTTAAATCCAGGCGCAGCATCGCTCAGAGCCTGCATATGCAAAAAGAAAAAGAGCGTAGGGGGCGGAGCTCGGAGGCAGCGTTCACCTTCTGGGACGCGCCGAGGTAATATGACACACTTCCACTCTTGCATATTGAAATATCTCCATCTCAGGAGCCGCCGCCGCCGTACAGATTTAAATGGGTTTGTTTATTGACTTTGGTCGGGGTCGAGCGTGTGCTGGCGGTAATGAAACAACAACAGAGCAGGAGTTAACAGGATGCAGGAGCACAAGGACAAGTGATTCAGGGGGATCTGTTAAATGTGTGTCATTTACAGAGACAGACCCCGAACGGGGATTACGACTCTATCTGTGAGTCTGAAGCTCCGATGTTGGAAAGTTTGATCCGTTTTTTCTCTCTTTTTATCAGACGTTTTCTGAACTGGAGCTCTTTTTTAAAAAACTGATGACAATGAGATCTGCAGAAAGGTGATGAAGACGATGTTTTAAAAATGTGTGTTAATTAAAACCAGCAGGAATAAACCTTTAATTTAAACGCTTCAGAGTTTCTTTGTGTTCGACTGCGTGTACAGAGGGCGAAGAAACAGCTGCATACATTTGGAGTGGAGGAGTACAGATGAGTGTGTGTGTGTGTGTGTGCGTGTGTGTGTGTGCAGTAGAAAAGATGAAGAGCCCTGTCATGTCAGTTGTGACACTAAAGGTTCACACACGCCCTCCTGCTCTCACACTGGATGACTTCATAAGCAAATGAGTCTGTGTGTGTGTGTGTGTGTGGAGGTGAAAGGAGGGAGCCCCCGCTCTCTCTCTCTCTCTCTCGCTCGCTCGCTCGCTCTCTCTGACTATGAAATAAAATTTAATAACTGAATAAAAATGTAAATAAAGATTTGCCTAAAATGAGTTGTCCGTGAGATAATCCCCGCCCCCCTCCTCCTTCAGCTAATACTGTGATGTGCGGGGGTGAGGAGGGGCAGCGTCCTGATGTGGCGTGTGACCTTTTGAAAGGCGCTCGGCGAGGGTTGATTAAAGACGTATTAAATTTGTTTAAATAAACCTCCTTGTAATGGCACATCATTTGTAAGAAGCTATTAGGGGAAACGCCGGGGAAAAATTGCGACGGCGTTATTTGCATGAAAATGTGGCCCGACGGCTCAGATTGAGGATCGCTCCTGAAAGAGGGGTGACACTCGTATAATTTCCCACCTTACCCGCCCGCCCTTCCTGGATGTGGTGACAAAAAGCTGATCAAACTTCCTGTGTTAAACCGTGGGACGGAGGCGGAGCTGGTGTCACATAAAAACATGTCCGCCTGACAGAGACTCCGCCCACCGAGCCCACCTCTCCCAAACGCTCGGCTTCACAAGAGTCGCACCTTTGAAGGGAGCAATTAGGAGATGACAAAGAGCGAGGACACAAAGAGACCACAAAGTCACAGCAGGAGGGACGGCGGAGCGACGGCTGTTTGGAGTCTGCAGACGCGAAGTCACGTCAGCGACGACTTCAAATAACAGATGAACACGAGAAAAGGCTGAGATCTGTCAGGTCGCTCTTTAGAATGTGAATAAAATCAGATTATTAAGGTTTTCAAATGATTTTAAAGGTGGAGTAGACAGGATCCTGTTAAAGAAGCTTCTTTTTTGTGACGTTTATACAAATAATCTTCTAATATCAGTCAATAGTTATTAGTTATTGATTATTTGGTAATATATCGATATCTCTGTGTTCTCTTATGTCTGTGTCGTCAACATTTGAACATTTTTGAGCGGTCCGCTCTTTCTGACTGTAAACAAAGCCGTTCTCCACCTCCTCTAACCTGATTGGTTGTGAGGCAGACGCTGCTCCCCCGTGTCGTTCAGGAGCCCAAACAAAGTTAGCGTGCTACAATATCGGACAGTAGAAACCAACCAGAAAGTTCGGAAAATTGTCTGAATCCTCCTTTGGCCACGACTGCCGACACAAGCAAGAAAACAAAGTAAATACCGGAGACTCTGGAGGAATAACGGGCGCTTAAAACGGAGGTAGACCGGACAAGAGCTAAAAAGACGGGTCAACATAAACCATGGGGGACGCTTGGGGATCTTGGTGACCCTGTAACCTTTCTGCTGGACAGGTAAACCGCTTTAACAAAGTAAGACAAGTGTCTGTAACAGAAGTGTTTCTTGTCAAACGGACCTGCTGTAGCGTGTTGTAGCGCCATCGCTAAACTGTCCTCCCTCGGGTCCTGGACTATGTCACTTTATCCTCGTTGTAGAAGTCCTGCAAACATTGTGTTTGCTGGTAGTCTGTTGGCATCTACAGTAGCACCAATGCTTTTGACTTTCACCTTGACTGGGCCCCATTTGTAATGATCTGAAGTATTTATCTGCATTATATCTGAATTTAATCGGAACGATACGAGCGAGCAGGAGCGTCTGTTTGTGGGCGGGGCTTAAGAGGAGGAGCTGAGGGGAAAACTGGTTGGGAGGGGTAGAGTTTACATTCAAGATTTCTGCTATTTTATTTTATTTTATTTTAACGTTTCAGATCCCTTTCAGGGTCTCTTTAATCCTGTTTTTGTGTCACGATGCTCCAAATGTTTTAAAGTCCAGTTTCTCAGGAGGACTCTTCTACTACAGAGCCATGCTGTTGTCATCCTCTGCAGGATGTGTTTTGATTTTGAGACCCTTTAACAGAAAACACTGAAAGTAAATCTACTAAAGAGAAAAATATTCCTGATATTTTATCATCACAGAGAGGATTTTGGTTTGGTATGAGATCACGGTTGTTTCTTAGTTTAGTCTCGTGGAAATTCCTCAGATATTATCATGTTTTAACTACATTCAATTACAAATCTTATAACACCCAGAACTTGTCATAACTTCTTGTAAAGTGCGAAGAAACAGCTCTGCTTGTTTATTTTAGTTTCTTTCTCTCCTTTCAGCCCAGGAGGGAGTTTAGCTGCAGTCAGAGTCGGGGCGGGGAGAAAACAAAGTGCTGTCAGCCCCCTCAGAGAGACGTCCGAGGCCTCGGCCCGGTCTGAGCTGCTGGGAGGGACGGAGGGATGTTCAGCAGAGCATGAGCCGGAGCTAAAGTTGCTGACAGGCGAACAGCTCGGGGAGGAAAGTTGAGATAATTAAAAAGAAATACTTTTTTCGGGGGAAGAATGGCTCGTTGATCAAGTAAAGAAATGAAAACAGACATGAAACATGGGCCGGCTGTTCCCTGTAGAGCGCTCGATCTGATGCTTTATGTTCGGGTTTAATGCTGAGTGACGGGAGGTCACCGCCGCCGCCGCCGGTTTAGCCTTTAGCAGAAGTCGCAGTATCGCAGTGAAGAAAACTTAAAACCTGTAAATACGAAGCTCTGTTTAACCGCTTTATCCTAGTGTGTTTACTCGGTCTGGTCTAACAGGAACAGAGGAGAGAAAAGTGCTCCCCCATCTCACCCCCTCACCCCCCGTCCTCCACCTGTCCTCTCCTCTGACCTGCAGCAGGAGCTGATCGCCGTAATTCGAGGCGTCTGGACAGAGTAAAACAGCTGAAGGGAGCAATCAGGTCTGCAGCTGATTACCTTTCTGGGAGCGCTTTCACTGCACAAATCTGTGTGTGTGTGTGTGTGTGTGTGTGTGTGTGTGTGTGTGTGTGTGTGTGTGTGTGTGTGTGTGTGTGTGTGTGTGTGTGTGTGTGTGTGTGTGTGTGTGTGTGTGTGTGTGTGTGTGTGTGTGTGTGTGTGTGATGTAACAGCACCTGACATGCTTGGAGCTGTGTGTCGGCTTGGCGGTTGGTTATTCACTGACAGCAACAGGAAGGCCAGAGAGGTGCAGGCAACCACACACACACACACACACACACACACACACACACACACACACACACACACGCACACACACACACACTAAACAGCACTTAGATATTTCAGGATCTTAAATTTTCTCCTCTTTCTTCACCTCTAAACTTCACAGCAGTAAATCAAACAGTCTAGATCTAAAGGTGCGGTCTCGTCCTGCTGAAGCCCGGCAGGTGAATCTATCTGATCAACATCTATGCTCTCTGTTCTGCAGGTAACTGCCGTCAGGAAACACCTTTCTGTGAAGAAATCCCTCAACGTAACGGCCGCAGCACTCGCTCCGTACTCCTGCAGGATGTTGTCTTCACAGTTGCATAATGAACGCTCACAGCAGTGTGTAGATGTCGCTCCTATTACAAAATGTGTCGCCCGTTTCTGTCTCTGTGGGCACCATGACAAAAAAAATATATATTCCTGTGCAGCAACAATCTGCAAACAAGCGACTTAAATGATCTGCATCCTTGTTCACGACCTTCAGGGGTGAGAGAGGTTTAATGTACCTGCACAGGCCAGAAAAAATAAATAAAATAAATAAAAAAACAAAATGACTCCCCTGATGGTTACGATAACGAACCTCCAGACCTTGACAGCCCATCCCGTATCGGGCTTAAAACAGCCGACTCCTGCTAACTCAACAAAACTCAAGGTTTTCAGCGGGCAGGTAATAGATTCAGAGAAACAGGGAGGTGGGTTAGATGAACGAAGCTGCATCAAGGTGAGGGAGTGTCCTCTGACACTGACGCAGGGTGACAGGTGACGGTCTATTCTCTGGTTCTGGTTCAAAAATGATCCAAAACGTTTCCAAAAACCCTCACAGACAGTAAGGAGAGTTTAACCTGCAGATAAAGTCTTTAAACTGCAGCCAGTCTCAACCTGATCCCAAGGAGACTAACTCAGATGTGTCACACAGGAGCCTTAAAGACCCCCTGAGCTCTTGACCCGGTCTAAATCATCCCTGAAGCCAAAGTCCTGCACCTGAGACGTCTACGGTAAGTGTTTCCACCACCTCTGGGACATGATCTCCAAAAAAACGTCTGTTTTTTTTCACCATCAGGGATCGTTGATGGAGTACAAATGTGTTTCTTTGGTGACGGGATTCCCTCTTAAAGCGTGCAGGAACAAAGAGGCCGTCCTCAGGTGATCCAAAGTGTTGGTTCTGGTTGACAGAGACACCTTCAGATGATTGATCACAGCGAAATGAGAGGGAGCAGCAGATAACTCGTGCTCTCTGGTTGAGCGCTCTGCAGATGTGATCGTCTGCAGCATGATGAGCTTCAGGTAATGAGATTCCCTTTTTTTTCCCTCCCTCTCCATGAAAACGCATATAGAAACAAACTCTTCAAATGCAGACATCAAAACAAACGGTGAATTAAGGCACGGCGCTCGCCGCCTTGTTCTCGAGAGCATGGCCTTGAGCTAGCGATTTTTTAAACTGTGCCACCGTTAATTTATGCGAAGATCTGAACTAATTCTTTGGCAACTGTGAAGCGGGAATATTAACGCGATGTATTTCCTTGTCGATGATAATGCCGCGCTCTTAATTTGAGATGTGCGGTGTAGTCGAACATGAAATGGAAATTTGCCCCAAACTATGTATTTGTCACTGAGTGTCGGATGTGGAATGAGGTTACATGCATCCTCTGCTACCCACACTCTTAAGATACGAGGAGAAGAGGTGTTTTCCCCCTCACAGCCGCCGTGAGTGTGTGTGTATGTATGTGGGGAGAACTTAAAGCCCCAGTTCAGAATATATTATATTTACATATCCCCATCTACGCTGGCTTTTATTTTCATTTGCATAGATTTCCTCAAGAGTTTGTCTCATGCAGGGAAAACAAACTAATCCTTCATACCTAAAAATACGAGCAGGTTTCCCTCCGGCGTCTCCGTACTGACCCCTCTGAGGTCAAAGCAGTGAGATTGGCACCAATTCAACAATCATCATGTGCCGAGAACAAACGGAGCACTGACGATAAAAATATTTAAAACTGAAGGCTGCACAGAGGTCCTAAAGGCAGAGAGAGTCAAGGAAATGATTAAGAAAATGAAAGAAACGGATTCAAGACACAGAAAAGGATTCGAGACAAAGATGCTTTCACACAACTTTGGCTTTTTTTTCTTACACAATTCATTAAATCCTAAAACGTGCTCGTATTTTCACAAACAATCCTCCACTGCCCTGATATTTGTTAGCATAAAAATGAAATGAATGAATGTTGGAAAAACTAGCTTGTCCTTAACTCAAATTGGTGCAAATATAATTAAGAAGTAAATGTATAAAATGTGAAACCTGCTCGACTGAAAATGCCATATTTAACGATGTGCAGTGTTGTTTTTGGCTGGACTTTGAAAGCAGCGTTTGTCCTGTTTTTGGGCCGAATCATTCTGCTGATTAAGATCTATTTTAGATTCACAGTGTGTGAATAAGGTGTTCCCCAAGGCTCGATCCTCAGCCCGTTATTAATTAGTCTTCACGTTAACAATCTCCTACAGCTGCACCATGGGATGGATCTACAAATGTATGCCGACGATGCTGTTTTGTAAACGAAAAACAGACTCAGCTTCTGTGGAAAGAATCAGAGTATTTAATGTTCCTGCAGGATTTGAGGTCTTGAGGTCTTGCTGGAACTTCCTCAGATCCTGACTACACCACCTTTAACTCTGTTTCTGCTTAAAGAAGCTCCTATGATGTGACAGACAGTTATCCATGGTTTCCAGGTTTTTCCCGGTTGTATTTTTTGCATAAAGGAGCAAACGTGTGTACGTTAAGGAAACCTAATTACAAACAGCGAGCGTGGCAAAAACAGCAGAAGATGTAAATGAGACGTAAACAGAAGCAAATGGCCTGTAACTCTACATGACAGTGCTGTTCTCCTGGAACAGCAGAACCACCCACTCCAATCAGGCAGTAAGCAAACGCTCCGAATATTTAGAGAGACTTCACAATATTTCACCCAGGTGAGGAGGGAGAAACGGGCTTTTAGGAGGCGGGCAGGATGTGAACACTTTACATTAACGGATACAAACTGTCATCGCGGCGAACCGTGCCACCCAGAGAGCGCGGGGTCAAAGGTACCGTCACTGGTCCTGCTTCTACAGGATGACGGCTGGTGTCCTGGTGGGTATATGGTCCGTTTACATCACGCTAAATGAGCAGGAAGTGATGCGTTTATGCTGTGTAAACCTCCACAGGATGCTGCAGCTGCTTAAAGTTTACCTGCTGGATGTAAACCACCAACACACACACACACACACACACACACACACACACACACAGATTTACAGTGGGAGCAGATGTAAACACACATACAGCCGTGTTTATATCCTTTGCTTAACCTCCTGTCATCTTCAGACTGTACCTGCTAAATGGTCAAACCTCTGCGCTCTGACACGTGTATAAACCGGCTCCTAATTAGGCTGCAGTTTATCCTCCCTGTGTTTGTCCTTTCAAAATAATATCTCCAAAATTCACCCACTCCTGCCTCACCTCCCTCTCACCTTTTCACATCTATAAACTTCCTGGAAGTCTTTAAAAAAAAAAACAGAACTGCTGCAGGAGAAACGCTCCCGCTGCAGGAGGATTTAACAAATTGGAAAAGAGGACAGATTATACATGGTTAAATGATTAAATCGCTGAGGTAAAGAGGAGAAGAAGAAGAGGAAAACAGGTCAACGTGCACCCACAGAGTGCTCCGGGGAAGGCAGGAGATAAGAGTTTATCACAAGCGTATAAGTAGATACCGTTAATCCTCCTTGTGTGAGTGTTGTACATGAAATAAATCTGTGACTGACAAACTGGAAAGATACTATTGTTTTAAAGGTGGAGGGCTGCACACGGGCGGAGGGGGGCCGCTTGTTGTCAGCAGATAAGCGTGGAGATAATCAATTCACGCCGGGTTGAGCGGTTTCTCCGTGCAGCGGAGGATGGAGGCTGCAGGTAGACGCGCACGGCGCGGGCGGGGCTGTGCTTAGCTGGTAAATGTTTAGCCCTTAATAATTAATCCTGCAGACTTGCCAAAAGCAAGATTGATTATTCTATTAGAGGTGGGGATCAACAATGACCTGAGTGGAGCTCTATTTCACACACCGTTTGAGTGCCCGGAATTACCATCTCTGTAAGGCACACTGCTTCTTTTAATTCCCTGAGAGCCGCCGTGATATTATCCTAAAATATGAAAATATCACTTTAAGGTCATTTAAAAAAGGAGAATAAAACAGACTAGAGAGAGGAGTCTCATTCATTTAGCTGAGGAACCTTTAAAAAACTCTCAGGGTTTGTTTTATATCTTAGAAACGATGATTTGATTGTTTTAATGAAGACGTCAGATCTGACCTCCACAGGTATGTTCAGTCTGTGGTTGTGAGTTTGTGAGTTTGTCTCCTCACATCATCAGACACTTCCTAACTGTTGTGCAGCCTCATTACGTTCATTTTCATGAATCTTCCTGCAGCACACACACACACACACACACACACACACACACACACACACACACACACACACACAGCGTCACACGTTCAAACATCCGCGTTTATTTTCATCCTTTTTTTTCTTTTTCTGCAACAAAAAAAAGTCCCAGGAATCATCCTCTGACTCCCTTAAACCCTCCACACTCCCCTCCGGCTTCCCCCTCGAGCTCATATCCACCCACAACACACACGCACACACACACACACATACACACACACATCTACACACACTCATGCAAAGCCACGTATCAACAGGGTATCTAACCACTGGGAGGGAAGAGATCCACAGAGGTGTGCATTAACATAAATACCAAATCTGTTAGAGTGGAGAGATGTGTGTGTCTGTCTGTGTGTGTGTGTGTGTGTGTGTGTGTGTGTGTGTGTGTGTGTGTGTGTGTGTGTGTGTCAGAGGGGGCGGTGTGGGGGGAGAAAAACAATGCATTCATTGTGTGCAGATGGAGGATGAGAGAGAGAGAGAGAGAGAGAGAGAGAGAGAGAGAGAGAGAGAAGAGCAGCTCCATCTACAGGCCGGGACATCACACACACACACACACACACACACACTTATACACACACTTGGACACACACACATCCCCTCTCCTTTCCCCACACACAGGCTGAAAATGTTGTCTCACCTCACAGACACACACTCCTGTTTGCACAAACACACACTTTACATCCTTTTGTTTTATCGTGCACACACCGATTTACACAAACACACGTGCACACACTCTTCTTCCGCACAATAACAACACAAAGTTGGTGAAAACTTGTCTGAGTGTTTTGTGTGTTTGTCTTTCACACACACAGAGAAAAAAAAAACAGAGAGCGTGACACACACACACTTTTCACAACCCACACACACACACACTGAGACGCACAATGACTCACTTTTTACTCTCTCCTTTCATGCACACACACACACACAGAGGCAGCTCCTATATTCATTCATTCATGAATTCACACACAGACACACACTCCGGTAAGATCAGGTAATGCAGTTAAAAGCTCATTAAAAGCTCTTTTAAGCGTGTTTAAGCAGCCGTGTTTGTGCGGCGCTCGGACATCAACAGTCTGACACGAGTTCAACCACAAAAGGAGAAAGTTTGAAACGTTCAGGAGGAGTTTGAAACCTCCTTTCCCAGGCCGTTAGGAGGCCGTCACTCCCCCCCCTGAACGCCGTTTCTCCTCCTCCACCTTAAAAAGCTTTAAAACTGCTCAGGAAGTCTCACATGAGGCCAGTTGGTCCCGCTCTGTCATCACCTCGGCGACAGCGCTCTCATACACGTCCAAAAATTAGCGGTATTATGCACAGTGGGGGTAACAGGCCCTCAGCCCCCCCCCCGCCTTGATTTAGCCCGAGAGGAAATTTACGGTGATAGCTGGACTAAAAGGCTGACAGGCAGGAGGGAGCGTGAGGTCTGGTCCTCTTCCTGTTCCTTTTTTCTGCTGCTCTGTTTGCTTTACTCCTTTTTACAGCCCTCCTGTCTGGACCCTGACGCTAAAAATAAGCTCAAATCTGACGGTTTCGGGTCAGAAAGTCTCAAAAAGACTAAAAATATGAGTGTTTGGATTCTTTAACTGTAACCTTCCTCGGGGGTGAAGCTGCTGCTGCTGCTTTTGGGTTTCAAATACCAACACGGAAAAGTCAAAGTTTTCTGTGTCTGAGTGAAAATTTATTCTGCCTGATCTGACGTCAGACTGGATCTCTGACTCCTCTCTTTACATTTTTCAACATAGATGTGATCTGATCTAGATTTCATCATGTCGTAAACATCTCTTCATGCGTCTTCCTCAGACTGATCTCCTCCTCAGACGGAGGAGCGAACTGCTCAGGTGTGATCACATCAGCTGCATCCTGCTGCAGACACAACAGCAGAAACCGAACCTGACATTGCAGAACTGAGAAGTAATTAGAGGCCGGGCGGCCCCGCTCCTTCGCCTGACACCAAATCAATGCAGTTTTTCCGCGTTATCAATTAAAGACGTGTCATTACAAGCGTGGAGAATTGCCTCTCACAAACAGTCAAGGCGGAGACGGCCCCCTCACCGCCGCCTGGCTCCGGAACGGCCCCTTCGATACGCCGCGCCTTGACCCCGGCCGCCTCGAATGACAACCTGGAGCCGCAACGACCGGGTTGTTTATGGATTTTACGGCGCTCGTTCCAAACACCTGAGCGATAAAGTCAGTGTAGCGTGCAAAACCAAAATGCCGAACACTTGGTCGCGAGCCAAAGTGCAAAATGTATTCCTCAGGAGCCCCGCTCCCAATCGAAGCCAGCTGGGGTTGAACCATTAGCCGGTACAAGCAGAGACAACCTGGTAGCTGAGTGCGCCGACACTCCTGGGTAAATGAAACAGCGCTCTACACTAACCCCCCCACCTCTCCTCCCCCTCACCACCCCGCGGCCTCCCATCAGCACCTGGGAAAATGGATTTGAAACGAGGGCAGCTCCACACCCCACCCCTCTACTCCCCCCGAACGAGCAGATGGAGGCTTCCGCAGCGATTATCACCACATTACCTGAGAGTCTGTTGACGAACAGGAACAATACAGGCGGCGCTCATAAACCCCAATCAAACATGACACCCCCGCTAATGTTGCTCACTTCTCTATCGCTACGAGGCAGAAGAAGAAGAAGAAGAAGAAGAAGAAGAAGAAGAAGAAGAAGAAGTCTCTGATTCACTTTCATCAAAGTGTCCGGGAGAGGAGGGGTTTCCTGCAGACATGATCCCAAGTTCATGCTTCAGTCACAGACACTCACTTCTCTGCAGGTGAAGACGAGATCTTGAGATGTTATTAGATGGATGTAAAGAAGGATGTGACAGGATGGACTCTCTCTGACTTTATTTGTTTGTGGTTTTTGGTAAAAGTGTTTGTCAGTGTTCGAAGCTGAAGCTCTCTCCCCAAACTTCACACTCCTCCTCCTCCTCCTCTTCTGTTTGACTGTTAGCGCTCAGTTTCCTCCCTCGGGGAGTCCGGCTCTCTCCGCGTCTCTCATACCTCCTTTTATACCCAAAAGAGCCCAACTGTAACAACAGTGGTCTCCAAACAACCAGGGGATTCCAGACGACTGACCTCAGCGCTGAGAGTCCACCGCTGAGATACAAATATTTACCCCCATCGCCTTCGACTCAGCGCCGAAACCCCGCTACGAGAAACACTCCCTGATTGGGCCTGAACACGCCTGGAAAACAAACAACACTGAACTTTATCTGTGGAGGTGCAGAAGAAGAGCTCCAACGATCAGAGTCTGAGCTGCAGCTTTAACAGATCAGGACAGGATGAAACCTCATCACTCGCTCACATTTTTAATTTTGCACACCTGAGATCACCTCTGCCTCTGATAGGTCGGTTTGACTGTAGTTCCAGCGAGCGGCTGAGGTGATAAATCTGAGAATAAAAGAACTAAGTGTTTGTTTACGGCTTCATTTACAAGAGGAGCAGAAATGAACTTACTGCTGTACTTTCTAGTTCTTTAAATTTTACGCTGATGATTGAGGTTTTATTGCTTCATAACGAGGTATCGACTCCCTGTCTGCTCTTATCAGCTAATGTTTCCCAGGTGGTGAATGCGCTGTGATTGTACGTGTTTTATTGTTGCCTTAAACCTTCTGCAAATTTGATTTGATCGTCTCTCTCCGTGCAAAACAAGACGCTGTTTTTTTGTCTTTGATTTTTTCTTTCTTTCTTGTTTCTGAAAATTAGGATGGATGTACAGACCGTGCTGCTTGAAAAGATTATGTTCCTCAGATCTGGGTGAATCGGATAAATCACTGCGCTCTGTGAAAAAAAACAGCACTAAGGGTGTGTGTGAAAAAGCCTGAGTACACAATATATTCCTTTTCAAAGCACCCGCTGCAGTAGTTTGTGTTTGACACTGATCAAGCATAATCATCAGGCGATCAGGGAATCCATGTGTGTGTGTAGAGGGCTCACACTCAAACACACACACACACACACACACACACACAAAACATCTCCCCCTCTATCCTCCCTGTGCAAGTCGAGCTAACCACTCCAGGGAGCTGGAGACTCAATTAATGACATACATACAGCACTTGCAAGATGTCTGGAAGAAAGAAACATACAACTGCACATATGCACATTAAAGGCCATCCCATACAGTGCATACAAGTGTGTGTGTGTGTGTGTGTGAGTGTGTGTGTGTGTGTGCAGCTCTTTAACTTGCATGCATATAGCACAGTATGTAGGCTAAGGCCGGCCTCTGGGAAATCCTCTGTATGTTCTGCTGCATTATCCGCCTTGCAGCTTCCACGTCTCGAACACACTGCTGCTTCATTCTGCTGTGAACTCTAACCTGTTCTGAACTTCACTCTGTAACTAAACATCAAACTCAACGCAAACTCCACCGCAGACCATCAAACGGGAACAAACGGCTGCACTTGTAAGTAAATACTCAATCAGGATTAAACACAAGTGTCAATTGTTTAAGAGTAAAGAGGAAACATGGAGTCAGGACGCGGATTTAGAGCTCTGAGAGAATTCAGAGTCTCTTCGGTTTAAATACTTCGGGTCGGTTTGGTCAAAGAAAATATTCAGATTATTCACTACAGCAGGAAACAAATGTTGGATTTCTCTTATTTAGATGAGCAGCTTTGATCACTAACACGCATGTAAACTGTTCGTGTTCACCTCTGTTATAAAGATGTCGTTCTTACCTGTGCCGACGCTCCGACAGGCTGCAGAGGGAGCAGGTGACTTGGCCTGCAAGAGAAGAAAGAGATCTCAGTTTCATCTGGATAATTTCTTATTAATGTTTATTTTACCTAAATATTAAATATAAGATATTTAATAACTGTGTTGGTGATGAAGTTAAACAGGTAAATATCCAGACAGTGAGGCTGAAGAAGTAAGAAAACAAAGAAATGTTAGTTAATCCAGACAAATGAAATGGGAAACAGTAAATTAGGTTAAAATATGGTACGGTCCAGGACAGTATAATATGAAATGACTTAATAAGGATCAATAACATATACTCGACTCAACTTTATTTCTAAATCACTTTAAAACAACCACAGCTCAACAAAGTGCTGTTCGTAAATAGACAAAACAACGCAGACGTAAAAAACAATTAAAATAACGGATAAAATAAAAGCAGAATTAAAAAGTTAAATATAGTTTAAATGATTTTAAAAACTAATTTAAAATCATAGAAACAAATAACTAAAAACAAACATCAGACAAAAAATAAAACATGATAAGCAGTGGTCACCTCAGGACAGAGGCCCGACTAAAGCCGTGTTTATTTAATTATTAAAATGAGATTTTGAACAGATGGACATCTACATGTGAAACTCTAGATTTCTGCTTCATGAAATCTTTATTGTCTATGAGCACCAAGAAAACTGGACAGCTCTGCAGAGACACTGATGAACTGATGCACGTCTCTGTGTTGGAGAGTGAAACATATAGAGAGATAAATCACAGTCTGACAGGACAGGATGTGCGGAGCAGATCCCGTCTGATCGGTCAGGACGACACGCTGAGATCTGGATATTCTTCAGAGCTGATCCACTCCCTCAGACCTCCTCTTTCTCCTCCTCTTTCTCTTCAGGAGGAGGTGGAACTTTATGCGAACGTGGACGTCGTGAACTCTTCATTTCACACCTCCGTGCTCCCCCTCCTCTCCTCCTCCCAGCTTATCCACGCCTGGCTGCAGCTGAGGGGTCGCCACTTGGAGGAAGACGGTGGCTGCTCACTGATCCAAGAGGTCAAAGGTCATTCCTGTTCTCCTGGCAAAAAAGGTGAGAGGACCAGAGCACGGGTCAGCGGTGCTGAAATCTCATTTAAGAGATTGACCCCCGAGGGCCAACTCGAGCCGGTCCGGCGCTCGGAGACGTCGTCACCCGGGATGATGTATAGGTTTGGGCTGAGAGAGGAGACCCAACACCACACACAAACACAAACACACACAAACACACAAACACACACACACACCTAGGTCAACAGGCGCTGCTGCTCAGAGCTGCAGAGCGAATCGGAGCGCCTACACATCCTTCATCAGATAAGACGAAACTTTAAATGGAAACTGTGACGTTAAAACAACAACAAATAATAAGAGAGTAACTCCGAGAACACGGATAAGAGGAGGTCCAATCATGAAGCCGTCTGTACGTACGGGTCAGAACCAGCACAGGGAGTTCCTGCAGATCTAATCACAACTGAAGAGTCCGCTCCTCCTGAGTCGGATTCTGCATGAAAGTCTCGGTCCCCGCAGACCGACCTGGATCAGGAACTCTCTCAGATCAGAGGACTTCATCTGAGGCTCATTAGCAGCTTTTAGGAGAAAATTGAGACGTGATGGAGGGATGGATTTCAGGTGGAGCTGTAGATAAGCTGATGGAGAGAGAACCCGAGACAAAACCGAGAACCTTTATGATTTCTTTTAAAGGCTGAAGGTTTCATTGAGTAAAAACATGCAGACGTGCAGCACACATGCATTTGGAAGTCGAACTTGCTTGAACATCTTTTCCTCTCCTCTCCTCTCCAAACATCTTCCCGTCATCGGGGACGCCACATGGCTTTGTTGACGCCATTTGTTGTTACTTTTTTGAGTTATTGCGAGTCACACGGGTGTTGCGGAGAACAGAAGGGAACAAAGACAGTGAAATGAAGCCCTCATTGATCTCCGTATTGAGAACATCTGCCCTGAACCTGAGGGGGGGAGCGGGAGACTCGGAGGAGTCGTGGGGAGTCTCGTGCATACCAAACAGCCGAGTTCAGGTGAATCTGGTGGATTTCATTCAGAGCTCATTTAAAAAAGGAACATGGCTGCTTCAACCTGCAGGCTCCACTCAAAAATCACCTGTTTTAACCCTTAAATTACCAAACTAGAGCTGGAAGATGGAGTCAAAGATGAGACGAAAATACACTCATTTATGTTACACTGATTTTTAAAGGTTTATCTTGAAATTTAGGGTCACTGTTTGCTTCTCAAGAAGAAGAGAAATTTGATCAAATAGGAGGAATGATCTGCAGAATATTATCTAAATTAAGTTTTTTAAGGGTTAAAATACCAAAAATATCAACTTTAGGAAGTAAAAACTGAAGCTGTCGGTGTTTTCCATCTTGATAAAATTACAATCACTTACAAATGCAGCGATTTAACCTACGTGCAGACAGTGCAGGACCGTTAACTCGAGCACTCAGAGAGCTCCACGGTAAACAAGAGCGTTCATGCATGTATGAAACATCAGGACAGCCAATCAGGAACAAGAACAAAGAAAAACACGACTTCTGTCTGAAACAGACGCCCGGCCAAAGCTTCAAACTCCTCATGATCCCAGTCAGTAAAAAGTTGAGGGTGGAAATATTGCCAATAAAAGTCCGTCACTGGTTTTAGGGACAAAGAATTTCCAAGATTTGCCTTTTCAGGAATTAGACACAAACGAGAAGAAGAAGAGGGGGGGGGGGGTTATCTGGCTCTGCATCCAGAGCAGCAGGAAATACTGCAGACCAGAATCCAACAACAAAGACTCTGCAGCTCTGAGTATGAAGGACTTTAACCATCGCGCATTTTGTGGCCAAAATCCGTGAACCACTTGGCTGGATCTCTGCATCCCTGCACCCGGGTCACACCCCGACTCTGGAGGCTGTCGGAGTTATTCTGAGGAAAAGTATCTGAGACACAATTAGACGAGGCAGTTTGGAGGGGAGCAGGAGTTCAGGAGGAATGAAGTTAAACCTCTTCATCACTGAATCACTCTTGGAATGCATAAAAATCACAGACTGATGATATCGAGGAGAAACGAGATCCCGAGGAGGGGTTTTCTTTTAACTGCCAGCTGCTGGAGGTTTTTGTGGTGCAGCTGTTATTAGAGAAATGTCCCATCTCAGGCACGGTATCAGGAAGGCGTGGAGATCAAACGCGGAGGGGCCCGTTTGAACCCGCCTTAATTATAATTGGAGGAGAGCCGCAGATCAAATGTTTTATATCCTATTGTAATCCTGGAGCTGTATCTGTTTCACACGAGCGGAGCAGACGCCCCGACCAAGCTGACAGTTTCCTTTACGTCCAGGCGCAGGACGGGAGCACGTGCAGCCGGAGCGGCCCACATGTGGAGCCCATTATGAGGGGGTCGAGTGTTTACGGTGGACGCAGATGTTGGGTGTTTAACATGGCACGGGCCGAGCGGCGAGTTTTGACAGCTCTGGGTTTGGGCTCGACCTACACTTTGGAAGTCGGTCCGCTGAGATGAAATGTCAAACACGCAGATAAGAGGCCAAGAAAACCTGATTGCAGCAGTTCGGTTTCTCCGATGCCCGGCCCAATCTGTCCAACGTCGGTCAGCACCTCGCGTGTGTTTGGAGGGAAGGATCCAAGGCTGCGGGGCTGCGGGGCTTCCTGAAAACCACCCACTGCTGCAGGAAAATGGATGGATGGATGAATAAATACATGACTAATATTCTGAAGAGGAAGGAGACGTTGATTAGAGGACGGCGTGTTTGTAGGTGAGTGACAAAATGGAAAATGAGCGCGTTCAGAGGAGCGGCAGGAGCGTTAAGACGAGAAACTCTCCAAAAGATGATGGAGAAAACTGACCTTTTCAGAGACAGGTTTGTTTTTTGTTAGAGTGTGTGTTTATGAAACTACAAACGACGAAAACCTGAGGGATGAAACGGAAAAACTGTCCTGACGGCATCAAGCTGTGGACGCTCAGAGAGACACGTAAACTTCTACAGCGCCATCAAGAATAGTGAACTATCCCTTTAAGAAGAGCGCTGTTTAGCTCAGGTGACCCCGGCAGGGATCAAATGCTCTGCAGCAGAGTCCTCATGTGTTTATGAAGGTAGGTTAAAAATACGAGTATCTGCAGGGCAATCACACACTTCAGAATATGCTGCTGTCAGTTTAATATTCCTGCCTGTGGGGGGGTGAGAGATCAGGTGACTGGGGTATAAATAGGCCATCCGCCATCGCTTCATCTCCGCCGCCTCCTTGACGGGATCAGAGTGACTGAGGACTGACTCTGATGTCACCAGAAATCAGGACAGCTGTCGCTGAGGGACCCTCGGAGTCGGCGGCGGTGAAGCTTCGGTGCGTCCGCGAGACACGGACGGGCCGGGATGAGGTTTACATCTGTTCCTCTGAAGTGATGGGGGTCGCGGGGATCACACCGGCGGGGTCTGGAGGTGAACGCAGAAACGCTGGAAATGCAAAGCGAGTCAGCAAACAGTTTGTGGATCCTGCTCGAGGCGCTGCATACCTGAACAGATGTAACTGTCAGGCTCAAATATACATGAACGTGTCTGCAGGGTAAATAAACGTTCACGTCAATCTACAGGAAAATAAAACCCCTGATGGTCGATTGGAGCAACAAGGTAACTCTAACCTTTTTTAACAAGGTG